AGCCATTTCTGGAGCTCCGCCTCAGCTTGGCAACCTCACACCAACAAACACACCCACGGTGGTTAACGTTTCCCATTGATTTCGCATTGGTTTCCTCATGGGACCCTGAGAAAAACACCCAGCCTGAAGCTGCCGCCTTGGAACTCCTAGCCATTTCCCCTTGGTTTCAACAACCAAAAACAACTCCCCTTGGTTTCTCATTTCATTGGTTTCAATTAAAAACAACAACAAAAAAGCGAAAAGAACAAAAAAACTTGGTTTCCCCTTGGTTCCCCGTGTTTTCTGGGTCTTCCTGTATCTCTTCCTCCGCTCCAGCGCGCGCTCGGGCGCGAGGTCCAGGCCAGCGCGGATCTGGGGAGCCTCTTCTGCGGGCTGATCTTCCTGGGCTGCCTGGTGCTGCTGCGGCACTACTGGTGCTTCAAGCGCGGAGCTCGGAGACTCCCAATTCTTGGGCCCCCGGCCCCGCCCAAGCCAACCGAACCAAGCAAAAGCGAAGCCCCAACCCAAAAATAATCCGAGAGATGGAAGGTTTGAAGCTTTGGATTTGAAGCCCTGGTTCTTGTAGACGTCCAATTCTTGGGTCATGTATAGCAAGTATAATTTCCCGATATCAAGGTCAAGCCCACTTCAAACGCTTCATCTTCGAAAATCGATTATCATAGGACTTCTTAGTGGGTTATGATTTAGGTTGGCAACAACTAGGTCCCCCCAGGAAGGTGCCCTTTCTTACCCTTTTTTGGTTGGGAGGGTTCCCCCGGTTTTTCCCACCAACGGGACCCTAAAAAAGGAGTCTAGGTGCCCCAGCTAGGTGCCCTGGAGCCACTCACTTTTCGGTTGGGAGGTCTACTAAAAGAGACGACAGAAAGCGAAAAGTCGGGTAGCAACTGATTCTAAGCTCTCAAATCTTTTGAGGACCTACGAGTCGCTTCCAATTCGTGGGTCTTTGGCAAGTCATTTCGAGTCGTTTCCGTGATGCGGCCGGAGGCCCCAAAAAGAAGCTTCTGCTTCCCAGTCCGAGTTGTGTCGTGGGGTCGTCTGAAAGGGGGGCAGAGAAGAAGCACCCAAGTGGCCATGGGTCAAAAACCCGGTTGCCCCAGAGTGAACATCCCAATCCAAGCACTAAAATAGGTTCTAAAATGGGCGGTGAATTCACCTACCCCAAAATGGGATCCCATTGGTTCTGACCCACTGCCAAGTGCTGGTAGACCAGTGGTTATGGGATATGCTGCAGGGTGCTTCGGCTCAGAGTGGCAAGTCCGAGTCTCCCCCGTTCGGTTCGTTGCGGCTTTGGGTGCCCGCAAGCACCCAAATACCAGCTGATGCTTGGTAATTACCCAGCCAACAATTCGTCTTTCTGCAGGGGTCTATGCACTTCCATGTTAGTTGGTGGTAGGGTGGATCAGGTTTTCGGAGGGTCTTTGATTCCACTGCTTCCCCCGTTCTATGATTCTTGTCACCAACGACCAGAAATCCTTGGGCCACTGTCGTCTGGCATAAGGATTCTAACTTCGCGGGTTGGCTTTTGGACGTGTCCAGTTTTCCGAAAGTTCCCCTTCAGAGCACTGGATGGGATGTGTTCAGGAATCCCCTTTTGGTTAGGTTAGAAGGGAATCCAATAGTACCACCTGCCCTCCGTTTCCCGGACAAGCAACCCTAAACTCACAGCTTGTCCTGAACCTGTATGAGCAGTGGTCGAAAGGGTGCGTCTTAAAATGTGGGACCCTCAAGATTGTTTGTTTTCTTGGACTGCAGAAACTGTTTGTCTCCCTTTGAAACCACACCAAACCGGGTGCCATCAAAAACGACAGACCTGAATATATGCTGTGTCATTCTGCTGCATTCAATTGGGCACACTCACCAAATTACCGTTCGGACATGAGGGAGGGGGGGGGTTATGTGCTAAATCCAAGGTTTTTGCTGGCCTCTGAATCTCGCTCGAGTTCCTGGACTTGGCGTTTTTGCAAGACCATGTCAGTGGCAAACCACAACTTCCATTTGCTGAATATTTTGTTTAATGTCCCTTGTTGGTTCTAAAGGGAACCTATCACTACTGGAGATATCATGATTTTTCCAGGGAGCTTAAGCAATGGAACACATTTTCGTGGCGAATCAGATCAGGAAGCTCAGATAAATCAGCAGACCTCCAGTACTGCCCTGTCTTCCCTTTTGTTTGAAGTTTCCCTTGCTTTCTCCCGCCAGAGATCTGGGAATTAGGAGCCACCAAGCCCGTCAGCCAGAACCACCCCGACCAAATAAAACAAATCCAAACCCAAGCCAAGCTTAAGTCTAGCTTGCGGGAGCCCCACGAAACTCATGGTTGCGGTTGTACTTGCCTGCCCCGACCAGCGAGGTGTCCGGGCAAGCAGCTGGTGGCCCTGTACGGCTTGGTGCTCATGTGCTACGCCGGGGTGTCTCTGGCCATCAACCCCTGGGTCTCATCCCTCGCCTGTCAAGACTACATCTACAACTCCAGGACCCAAATCGCAGGTGGTTTCACAGGGCTCCTTAAAAGATTCCTTGAAGCCGACGAGTGCAGGAAATTGCCCGCCCCTTTTTAGGGCAACTGGATGTTGGTAGGACGCCGAACTGGGGGACGTTGCTGGCTTGGTCTGGTGGGTCTAGTTGGTCTGGTTGGTCTGGTTGGACTGGTTGGTCTGGTTGGTCTGGTTGGTTAGGTACTCATAATTGAGAGGCTCCCGCTCTATTCACTTGATTAACCCGGGTTGAAATTAGGTTCTTGGCATGCTGTGCATCTTTAGTGGGTGGACAACAAGTCACCAAGGCTAGCTGCGCTAGCGGAAGCTCTGCAAGCTCGTTACCTGGGGGACCCCGCCTCTCTCTTGAAGGGTTGCTTCTCCCCTGGCCCGATAGCCCGCTCCCGGCTCCACATCAGCATTGCTGGGGAATCTGTCTCATTAGGACCTGGTCCAAGTTTGGATCTTCATGACTTTCTGGATGTTCTTGCACACACGCCAAGGATTGGAAAGAACATGGAACCCACAACTCTATCTTGTTCGGAATATGGTTTGAGGGAGTCTTTGGGGGGAGTTGTTTGTCAGCCACCCCTCCGAACCACCCGCATGAAGAATGGAGCAGCAGCTCCTTCCAGGACGCCGGTGATTGTGGCCTTTGGGTGGCTGCAGAACTGTGCCTCGCTTCTGTTGCTGGTGCTCCAGTTCATCTTGGTCTGCAATGGCCCCATCTCCCACGAGAGGCCCGGAGGATTTTCTTTTTGCAGGGGGTTGAGGGGTTGAGGGGTTGAGGGGTTGAGGGGTTGAGGGGTTGAGGGGGTTGAGGGGTTGAGGGGTTGAGGGGTTGAGGGGTTGAGGGGTTGAGGGGTTGAGGGGTTGAGGGGTTGAGGGGTTGAGGTGGGCGGTTTTGATGTAGGTGATGGGGGGGGGGAGGGGAGAGGGGTTGAGGGTGGAGGTGTTGATGCAGGTAATGGGGTGGGTGGGGGGGGGTTGGGGGAGGTTTGGATGTAAGGTTTGGACTTGGCGAGTTCCAGAGATCACCCTGAGACTTTGCGACGCATCCTCAACGATTTAGTCTTAGCGAGGGATCAATGAAGTGCTGAGGCTTTAATGGGGGTTTGAAGTTGTTTGAAGGAGACTTTTGAAGGTTTGAGGGGTTTTGAGGGGGGTTCTGCGGTCTTCCTGAGGTCTTTTGCGAGGGTTTGGAGGCTTTCTGAGGTAGAGGTTGGCCGGTTGGACTTCCGGACAGCCACAAGCGGCGCTCTTCTTTTTCTCCTGGGCAAAGGAAAAGAGCGCGGTGGTGCGTGTTTGGATTTATGCGCTGTATGATGGTTTGGCTCGGTTCGGTGGCCAAAAGATGACTTTTGCCTTCAAGGTTGCAGCGCCCAAAGAACGCGTTCCCTCTGCCCCGCACAAAGCTTGGAGCGCTCGCGGTCCGTTTCTGTTTGTTGCTGGCAACAGGTTCCGCATCCCTGGAAAGTGAAGATGCATGTTGGAATGAAGGCTTTTTTATTGTCCCCTGTTTGTTTAAAGGGAATCTATCACTGCTGGATGTTTTTTTTTTTTTTTCCAGAGGACTTAAGCAAATGGAGGCCGTGGTTGAAAGCGCTAGAGACCTCCAGGTGCCCTTGCCATTTTTGTTTGCATAATTTTATGGCGAGCTCACCGATTCGGGGGTAGAACGAGCGAAAGCCATGGTAAAGATCCTTAAAACGAGGGAAAGCCATGGTAAAGATCCTTAAAACGAGGGAAAGCCATGGTAAAGATCCTTAAAACGAGGGAAAGCCATGGTAAAGATCCTTAAAACGAGGGAAAGCTATGGTAAAGATCCTTAAAACGAGGGACAGCCATGGTAAAGATCCTTAAAACGAGGGAAAGCCATGGTAAAGATCCTTAAAACGAGGGAAAGCCATGGTAAAGATCCTTAAAACGAGGGAAAGCCATGGTAAAGATCCTTAAAACGAGGGAAAGCCATGGTAAAGATCCTTAAAACGAGGGAAAGCCATGGTAAAGATCCTTAAAACGAGGGAAAGCCATGGTAAAGATCCTTAAAACGAGGGAAAGCCATGGTAAAGATCCTTAAAACGAGGGAAAGCCATGGTAAAGATCCTTAAAACGAGGGAAAGCCATGGTAAAGATCCTTAAAACGAGGGAAAGCCATGGTAAAGATCCTTAAAACGAGGGAAAGCCATGGTAAAGATCCTTAAAACGAGGGAAAGCCATGGTAAAGATCCTTAAAACGAGGGAAAGCCATGGTAAAGATCCTTAAAACATGGAGGGAAAGCCATGGTAAAGATCCTTAAAACGAAAAGCCGACGAAAGCCATGGTAAAGATCCTTAAAACGAGGGAAAGCCATGGTAAAGATCCTTAAAACGAGGGAAAGCCATGGTAAAGATCCTTAAAACGAGGGAAAGCCATGGTAAAGATCCTTAAAACGAGGGAAAGCCATGGCAAAGATCCTTAAAACGAGGGAAGGCCATGGTAAAGATCCTTAAATCGAGGGAAAGCCATGGTAAAGATCCTTAAAACGAGGGAAAGCCATGGTAAAGATCCTTAAAACGAGGGAAAGCCATGGTAGAGATCCTTTGCATGGGGATCCATTTTTGTCAGGTGTTTTTTTTTTAATTGTAAAATGTGCCGCTATTTCGAGGGGCGTCCCTTTGAACTCGACGGTTTCGACTACCACCGAGAGCGCCCTTTCCCATGCCCACGATCTGGGGTGCAAGAACAAGTTGGTTGGGGATTGGGAGGAGTGGTGACCCGAAACGGGCAGACTGTTGGTCGGCTGGTCACTGGCTAAGTGAGATTTTTTTTGGCTTGCACGGGTGGCTGGCTGGAAAGGACATGAAAAAACCAGCGGATAGCTTCCAAACTGCACCACTTGGACATCAGGATGAAGCAGGCGCCCTAGAGCAACTTGCCTCAAGTGACATTTTGCCTTTGATGGGGTCCCAGTGCTTCCAGTCTCCGCTATGCATGGTTGTTGTTGGGAAACATTTTACATGCCTTCCAACGTCAACCAAGTAGGTAACGGGGCATTTGGGGCTTCGATGTTGGGCTAATCATTCGGCTGATTCAATCAGTGGTAGCTTGACGTCCCTTCCAAAACCCTCCGCTTGGTTTCCTGCAAGGCCTGTTGTGGGTGTTGTGAGAAGGGGTTAGGTGCTGTGAACACAGTGGGTGTGTCTTGTTTGAGGGTACGTACCACACAAATTGTGGTTTGAAAAGGAGGACAACAAGGAATACCCTAGTTTTTTGGGTCCGCTAAAACGACATGCCCAGTCTACTTTGCCGACTCGAACCCTCAACAACCAATACCCTAAAGCTATAGCTAGGCAACATAGAGCCCATGTCCACCGCGACTTTCGCTCGGAGTTGGGCCCCCCCCTTGTCCCTCTTTGTGGGCCTCCAAATGGCCCAACCCCCCCGAACGAACGCTCCAGACCGATGATGGGCCTCATGATGGGCTCCGCCTGCCTGATCTTGGCGCTGCTGCCGGCCATCTTCGCCACTCCCAACACCGTGAACGACCGAAGAAAAATCGCATGCGGGGTTGTGGGGTGTCCGGTCTCCAAGCTAAACCCCTGTTTATCAATATCCTCCATTTGCTTAAGAAAATTTTGTTCATTTTCCCTTGTTGGCTTCAAAGGGAATCTATCACTACTGGAAATGTATTTTTTGTCCAGGGGGCTTAAGCAAATGGAAGATATGGGGGTGTCCCTGGCTTTAGTGGGGATTGTTCACTTTTGGAGGGGGACACCCCCCTATGAATAAACTGGGTTGATTAATAGGGGGTCAACATTAGGGGGTTCTATACACCCACTGCACAACTAGGTCCCCCAGCTAGGTGCCCCTGTACCGTTTCTTTTTTGGGGGGATGGGAACCACCCTACTAAAATAGACAACCGATTTTTTTTTTTTTATCGGGTAGCCTTATTCTAATCTCTCTACTGGAGAACCTAGGGGGTGTCCTAATTTGAGCCACAATCAAAACCGATTCGGGTAGATGAAGGTTGGCAAGGGACAATCCCCTTGCCACAAATAGTTGCGGCCGCGTTTGTATTTCCTTACATGGTTCTGGGTCAACCATTTTTTAATACCGGGATTTGATTGCGACTCATTTAAGGTCCTTTGTTTCTCTTGGTGGCTCTCCCAGGCATCCGGTGTCCGGTTCAACTTAGCAGCTTGAACACTGCTTAGTGTTTGGTGGTCGGATTTCCATTTAACCCACTAAAAGTGAAACTTTTAGCGGGATCTGAGGACAGCCCAGTTTTGTGGTCTCAAAGGGAACAGCAATGCCAAGAACCTACTTTCGACCCGGATCAATCAAGTGGATATAGTGAGACATTCCCTGTCAAGTGGGACCTCATCAATGAAACCCGGGGGTTTTGCCCTGCCTCCCACTCACAGAAGTCAGGGTGCCTGGAAGATCAATTTCCTTTTCAAGGGACCCTCTGCTGGTTGGGTGCCATGTTCGTGAGAGACAAGAGTACCACTTGTTTGTGGTTTTAAAGGGAATCCAAAAGGACTAAGGACCAACGCATGTTTCGGAGTTTTCTACATGAAGACACACCCATGTCTCGAACTCTCGGATCACGAGCGAATCGATCGCGCGAGAACTCGCGCGGAAGAGGCTCTCCTGTTTGTGTTTGGACAAAATCGCAAAATCAAAGGACGCCCACCATGAACTCTGACCAGGGGAGAACTTTAAACAGGAAGCCCCCTTGAAAGGGACATAAGGGACCCCAAATGCGGCTGGTTCAAGAATAAGTGTTCAAACCGCAGTTGGGTATGGGTCAAAATAAAGGTATTTGTCCTTGTTTCCATTGACCGATCGGGCAGCCCAGTTTGGGGGTGGCCATTTTTTTGATCACACCGTGTACTCCCCAGTTCAAACCGCTAAAAATCGCACATTCGTCGGTCTCAAAGCCCCAGGAGATCTGTGGCAAAGAGCCCGAGAGCTTGCCGCTCTGCCTCAACGTGGCGCCTCGGCTTTCGCTTTTCTCTGCTGCCCAACGCCAACACCGGGCAAGGGCGCTTCAGGGCGAAGTTTCGGTCGGGAGGTTTAGCAAAACGACATCGATAACCTTGGATCGGTGTGTTATCACTTTGGATCGGTTTGTTGTTGTTTTTTTGTTTTTGCAAAACGAGTTTCGCCGAGATTCTTCTTTTGTTTCTAACTCGAGAATGAACTCCTCGACCTTTTCCAAACCCAGACAGACGTTTCGACTTTTCTCCGAACTCTCAGCGACTCGGGCTTAAAGGGGGGAGAGGGAAGGGGGGGCGAATTTGATCCAGGTTCTCCTTTCGTGGCCCGGTGGTGCCCAATTCGTGCTTGTTTTTGCTGGGTGGGAGGTGAGGAGAGGGGGGGGTATCTGTATGATGGACACGTTATTTTTGTTGCAACCTCCTTTATTTGGGGCATTGGTTCCTTCGGGTTCTTGGCTGGTAGACTCCAGGTGTCGGGGGTTCCGGTTCCCGGTTCCCGGTAAAAATGGAGGCCCCTCTTGATCCGATCCGAGCTTTCGAGCTGTTTCTACCCGGTAGGGACAAGTACTTGGTGTGATAGGGAATGACCGATGTTGAACCTGGAAATTCCCGAAGAAAGGAATGGTGTGTCAGGTTTACAGGGCCATTCCAACTCGTCTGCTGGTGAAGTCAGGTTGTTCTTCGCCAACTTCAACAGGGCTCCTTAAAAGATCCATTTTGCAACCATTCGAAACATGGCTTTTTCCACTAAATTAAAGGGACACCACCATTTACAAGGCAACGTTGAGGTGTATAATGCATCCGGATCCCTGTTCAAGCATGGGCTGGGCAACCTCCCACCCCTCAAGAGCCTTGCCCTACGCCTTGGCCTTTGAGTTGGGGCCACAAGTCCCACCTTTTGCAATGTTCAAATCTCCCCTTTGAGGCAAAGTCTATATATAAGTTTGTGTGTTTTCAGACCCCCCAATATTGATTCTTTTGGTTTCCATCTAAACATCCAACCAACAAGGGATCTACTGTGGGTGGACCAAATCCTGCACCATTTTGATACCATGGGAAACCATTATTTGCTGATATTTACAGGGGAATGACCCTTCCAGGGTGTCTTAGGCGGTGCAGGATTTCGTCCATCCACAATATGTCCTCCGCCTGTTGCAAAACCCAAGGGCTGGAGCTGCGTCAAGCTGGCGGTGGCGCTGGTTTTGGCCATCTGCGGCCTGCGGCGCACGCGCTCGGAGGAGGCACACGGCCCCGCACCGAAGTCGACGCGGAGGCCGAAGCAGGGAACAATGACTAGGTCCCCCAGCTAGGTGCCCTTTCTCACCCAACTTTTTTGGTTGGGAGGGTTCCCCTACTAAAATAGACCCCCAGTAGTGCCCTTTTACATTTTTTTTCTTGGGGGGGGGAGGGTTCCCCTAGTAAAATAGACTACAGAAAAAAGATCGGGTAGCCTTATTCTAAGCTCTCAAATCTGGAGGACCTAGCTGAGTCACTTTCTCAAACCGATTCGGGGATTGATGAAGGTTGGTAAGGGACAAACCCAGCCACAAATGGGTGCCGCCGCCTTTTGAATTCCTCACATGACTCTGGGTAGACCAATTTAATAGTGTGTTTTGGTTTCGACTGACTCACCTAACCGCTCATTCAATCAAAACCACGTAGAGGGAAGATGAAAAGAACACCCCAGTTGCCCAGTGGCGCCCTTTTTTCCCTCTTTTGGGGAAGGGTTCCCCTTTAAACTCAACCAACCAAGAATGGATGCCCTTTCTTCGCCATGGAATTCCACTGGGCATCTGAGAAACCATGCAACCCCCTGTTCACTCCGGGGAGTTTGAAGTCCCAAAAGTCTCCATTCAAGCAACAAGACCCCCCCAATTCGGATCCTGGTAGAAAGGGAACCGACCCGCAAAAACAATTTTGAGGATCCTTGAACATCTTCCTTCGCGACGCTTCTGCGTCCTCCTGCTTCTTTTTCCTTTTTCTAGGGGAAGCTTCTCATTCTTCCGGGGATGCATCGAACGACTTAGGGAGACAGCCATCTGTTTTTGAGAGCGTGGATGGAGGGAGACACTTTTTTGGTCGCCTATGTTCGAAAAAAAATGGGAAAACAAGGAAAAACAAAACGGTGGTTGAAAGGAAGGGTTGGCCCTCAGCTCCGGGGTTTGAATCCGCCGAAACGAGAAAACCATGGCCATGGGTCATAAGCTATGCCTGCATTTTGGGGCGGATGAAGACCCATGTGCCACCGATTTTGAGGTTCACTAAAAGTACCACCGATCTTGACCCACAGCCACATACTCTAACAAACATCGCCGCATTCGCCGCCGAATTCGCGCGGGGCGGAGGCGAAACAAATCCGCCGGGGGATCGATCGAACGACCCCCGCGCGGGGAGCGTCGTTCGCGTTCGGTTCGAACAGGGCTCCTGAAAAGAATTCCCATTTTGCCGCCATTTGAAACATGCTGCCAAAGATCTCCATTTTGCAACCATTTGAGTTACATGCTGCTTTTTTTCACACCAAAATAAAGTTGGACGCCGCCATTCGCAAGTTGCAATGTTCGATCGGTGTATAATGCATCCGGATCCCTGTTCGGAGCGCCAGGAGCCGGAGTCCTCGGAGAACTCGGAGATGGAGTCCGAGGCGAGCTCCATACCGGAGCCGCGGGCTCAGAGCGAAGCGAACGCCAGCGGCCGCTTCCACGGTTTCGGTTTTTGGGTGGGTGTTTGAGTTTGGTTTCGGTTTTTTTTTGGGTGGGTTTGAGCTTCGCGTGTTGTTTTCTGGTTTTTGGGTGGGTTTTTTGGTTTGGTTCTGTGAGGGTGTCCCGATTGAATCAAGCCGCTAAGAGCTGAGCGCTTCCGAATTCCTAGGCCTTTGGTAACTTGGTTGGCTTGCGGCTGGGGTTTCCGAATTTCACCCGCGAAACGTGTTTTGCACTTTTAGGAGGGGATCGGAAAGCGGACAGCCCACTTGCAACCGGCCACTTTTGATCTGAGCTTGCTCACACACCCCTCAAAAAGACCCTTCAAACAAGTTTACTTGGGAAAGACTAAACATCGACCATTTGTGGAGGCTTTGTGTGTTTGGGGGGTCCAAAAAAAAACAGTATATGTGTGTATATATATATAAACGAGTTTTGGTGTCGTCGAACTGTTTGATATTGGGAGATGGGGGTGTCCACTTTGAATGGGGGTTCAGACCACCTTTGGAGGCAACACACCCAAAGATGGGATCATTAGTCTGGGGTCAACATTAACCCACGGTTGTGGATATTTTTAGTTTTGCGCTCGCTTTCCGTGAGAATGGGACGGATTAATAACCCCATCCTATTGCGGGGGTGCCGCCCAAAAAATATATCCGGATTCACTGCTAAAACAGGACACTCCCAGATCAAAGCTCGCCAGGGGTTCAGGTTAAATTTCTGCAACCCGGCGAAGCTCATGCGATTGCAGGCAAAACTGGACTGTTGCACAATCAACGCTGAACACTTGGTTAACAGTACAGTCAAAGCAACAGTCCACGCTACTGTCAACCCTGCGTACATGCTACGTAGCAGGGATCGGAGCAGATTCCTGCTCTATAGGAGTTTTAAAGGTTTCCATCATGATTTTCTAGGCCTCCTTAGCATGTTCGAACCTAGGGTTGACTGAGGCGGTTGGCAGTTCTAGTGCAAGAATCCCAGTTTTGCCTTTGATCGCTTGAGCAGCCAGACTTGCAGACATTCAAAGTCATCTGCAAGCAGTCCGAGAAGGCAGCGCAATCTCAGTGAGTCAAGCAGCTCGAGCGTGGCGCTCAAGCAGTTTGTCCCAATCGGAAGTCCTGCACCGCCTGAAGGGGAACATGATTCTGTTCAAAATGTGCTCAAGTTTCTGTTTGATTTCCCCTTGCGAGGGGTTTGGATGCTTTTCTGAACTGATTATTTTTAATATTCCCTTGTTGGTTTTAAAGGGAATCTACCACTGCTGGAAATATGTTGGCACATTTTCCAGGGGCGAACAAGCAAATGGAAGTTGTCATCACGCCTTCCAGCACATTGGTTCTTCCAAAGGTCGCACGCACAATCGCCCAATTGAGAAAAACATGTTTTCCAAGGCTCCCTTCAATAACATGGCACACATGGGTCCCTTTAAGTCATTTCTCCCAAACATGCGTACCAGCACGACAGCCCAATTGACAACAAGTCCTGCACCACCCTGTGTCACTGTTCAACATTGAACTACTTTTTGCGGTGCACTCCCTGAGGCAGTTCCGTCCATCGTTTGTTTTCAGGGTGCATCAGGGTGGATGATGTGGTGAGGGTGGAGAATGGTGGGCGTATGAGGACACAAACCACCAAAATGTCACCCATATTGAATGACCAAGCAAGACAGAAGGGATGATTGTACAGCTGTCATGAAATGACAACATATATAGCAGTGTTACTAGGTCCCCCAGTAGTGCCCTTTCTCACCCCTTTTTAGGGGGAGGGTTCCCCTACTCAAATAGACTACAGAAAAAATTAGGGTACCCTTATTCTAACCTCTCAAATCTGGAGGACCTAGGTTAGCACCCGCATCGATGTTGCACCGCGCGCCCAAGCCTGGAAGGCTCTAAGGGCCCATGTGCCACGGCCTTCCTGTCACTGCTGTCTTGACAATGGTCGAATCTAGTATGGATAGCGGCGTCTCAGAGCGCCATGTTGTGCCATGTTGCGCCATGCTGTGCCATGTTGGTATGCGTTTCGCGGGCAGTGTTGCAGGGGCTCGGCCAATGTTTTGATTCATGCTTGATTTCCTTTGAAGCACGGTATGCCGCTCATGAGACTCCTGCAGCTATGGATTCAGGTTGCTTTCGCCTGTGCTGGGGGATGGCACTACAAGCACCAGTGCACCGAATGAATCTGGAGCCCTCAGATCCACGAACATCACGGTCGAGCTCGTTTGCAGGAACTGTGAATGTGCTGCACTGCCTTCCTGGGAGGGTTCTCAATCCTTGGACACCTGTGCGCGGACCTGTGAGCTCTCAGGTTCATATTTCCAACACGCCAGCGGCACTACGTCTACTGGGAGCGGTGATAACAACTGTGCTTGCTGCCCATACATCAGCACTACGCCCGGTGACGATGGAATGGGAGTAGATGTGTACGGGCGCACAGATGTGGCAGCTCACTACTGGCAAGAGTGTACATTGTGCTGGTGCAATAATCTGCTGAATACACGAGCATCAGTGAGTGTGCTGGGTCGTGTCAGGGATATCCTGGCTTCCAACATGCCAACGGATTGAAGTCCGATGGCACGCAAGGTGATTTCAACTGTAGATGCTGCACTATTGATCCTGCACCGGAGACTATTCAGGGAACAAACGTGTACTCCTTCGAGGTGATTGCATTGCCAGCATCGCATGCAAAATCTCGAATGCTGGGATGTCTTATTTGGACCTTGCTGTATATTATTTCAATCCGTCGTTGCGACGTTTGGAGCCTGACTTGATGCACGCTGATAGATTGATTCTATGTCGACCATCGCACCTTTTTTTTATCATGTCTCACCACATCTCCTTGGCCGCATAGGCGTATATTACCCGTCAAAATATGGCATTCCCCCAACGTTCCTCGTGATTCTCCCAATGATGGAGTGTTCTCACATGTTTCACCACACATGGCATTCTGGATGCCAACATTCCTTGAAAAGCGAGGAGTCGCGAGTGATCTTGTGGTGGTGCAAGGGAGAAAACCATTAGAGTCACTACAGTTTGTAACAAACTTATCTTGATCGATCTTGCATTTCAAAGCTTTCTCAGCAAAATCAGGCTGCATGGAGTTGTTCCTGGATTTTTGACGCGGTTGCTGTGGTTGGTAGCAGGGGTGTTGGTAGGTTGCGCGTTGTGTGCCATGGAATTGCAAGAATGCCATGGGCTCGTGAAGGATCCCAGTCCGAGTTTTCAGATCCCAGTCCGCAGGCAATTGCCGCGCCATCAGTTTCCAATGGTCGGCACCTTTGCGGCTTGCGGCTGATCAAACCAGGATACTGCACAGGACAAATTTTCGCGATCCTCGAGCCCCTTAATCAGCTTCCGATTTGCTGAATTGAAAATATTGTTTGTATTCTCCCCTAAGGCGCATGTGTCACTACTGGACATATTTTCTCACTGTGTCCAGGGGACGTATCAGCCACTGGAGGAACAACATATCATGGTAGATCCAAGATCCTCTAAACGCCAGGCTGAAAAAAGCCGTTGAGTCGGGTGCTATTTTTGGAGGTAGAAGATCTATGAAAGTCATATCGAGTTTCGACAGGGTTGGACATCTTTTTTTGGTTGGGGCTTAGTCTTCGATGATGGAGATGTTTTCATGTTTGGCGGCTTGAATTTGGACGAAGGCGGCTGCCATGGGCCGCTAGGTGTGACTATCAGTTCCTTTCAAGATCCCACAGAACTTCGATCAACCACTTGGGTCGACTTGCTCAGCCCAAGTTGAGGCTTGAGGACAGCCAGGAGGTGTTAAGCGTTCTTTCCCCATTCTTTCCAGGGAGCTTTCTTTTTAGAAAACCTCCGGAAACTTAGGGAAAACGGATCCGGTTTTTGGAAAGAATCATGGTTGAAAAGAATGGGCAAGGAATCAACCCCTAGAAAGATCTCGTGTTTCCTTCTTTTTCCTCAAAAACACCGGCGGGCCAGCCACGTAGCAAGCGGCTGGCGTGCGCCGAGGTCTCCAGCAGACCGGTGGACGGAGTGGAATCGGCTTGTGCCTACAGGCCTTGGGTCCCATGGAAATACTGTGGATGGTTGCTAAATCATTTGGGTATGGGTCAAAATGAAACCACCACAATATGGACCACAGGTTTTAGTCCTTGGTTCCATTTACCAGGGTAACCCATTTTGGGGTTACCCTATTTTTGACCCGCCATTTCGCACCACCTAAAAAAACCCTGGGAGACTGATTGCCCTGTAAATACCAACGTTATGGTTTCAACTGTGGTTTCTTTTCGTGGTGCGAGCGAAATGGATTTCGCAACCAGACACAGTAAAGGCAAACCGTTGGGGCCTGGGGGAGAGGAGGGGGGAGCTCAAAGAAGGCCCGTTTATGAAGGGCTTAACAGGGCTCCTTAAAAGAAATTCACTTTTGCAACTATTTGAAACCTGTGGCTTTTTCAACACCAAAATAAAGTTGGAAACCGCCATTGACAAGGCAATGCTCAGGTGTATAATGTAAGGATCCCTTGTTAATAAGAGCTAAGCTCCGTTTGCCCTCCCCTCTCTCCCCCAAGGCCCATGGCAGCTTTGTGTTTGTTTGTTTGTGTGTGTGTGGGTTTTAGTTCGGGGGGGGGGGGGGGGGGCAAAACATAGCAGAGTTCCTTTGGTGTCACTTTCAACCAACCTGAGAAGGGGGTGCCGTGAAAACAGCAAACGAACGAACGAACAAACAAGCAAGCAAGCAAACAAACAGACAAACAAACAAACAAACAAGCAAGCAAGAAATCAAGCAAGCAAACAAACATGCAAACAAACACACAGGCAATCACAGAAACAAACACACACACACACAAACAAACAAACCCACAAACAGTCACACAAGCAATGACGCAAACAAACACACAAACAGACAGGCAGACAGGCAGACAGAGACAGACAGGCAGACAGGGACAGAGACAGGGACAGAGACAGGGACAGAGACAGACAAACAAAGAAACAAACACACAAACAAACAAAGAAACCAATACACAAACACGCACACACTCACACACGCACACAGCAGCACCTCCCTGCTTTCTTTGATTTTGGAAGCCCTGGCTAAGTTTCACACAGACCTTTTCGCCCCTTTGCCGGAGGCGCATGGTTTTTTTTCCATCTCAAAAGTGGCAAAAGTGGACATGACTCCCCGCCTAGATGTCCACCAAAGGGTTCCGATCAAATTCCATATCTATGGGGTGTATAGTTTTGCTTTTCTAAGCATGGAACCCTTTTTCGCTGATGTGTCGCCGTGTTGAGTGAGTTTCCTTCTGCTTAGCTGATGTTGAAAGAGAACTAGAAGATAGCTTCTGGGCCTGGTAGGTCTTGTGGGGGGGGGGAGGGGGGTTGGGAATGCCGCAGGGAATGCAAGTCATGGTTCCCCTCATTTTAGAGTCAGGCTACCAGGTGTGTGTCTCCGGGGTCCAAAGCGGGGAAGGCCTGCGAATGATGTGCTTTTAGCCAGCGTTTGGGGCAACTTTGAGATGGGATTGTTTTGGCTGCTCTCTGACCCCAAGCCGGCAAAGGCTTCCCCAGAATTAGTTCCCCTTTTTGCTTTTTTTGCTTTTTCGGGGTCCCCTTTGTTTTCCACTCACCAGCCCAAAAAATGGTTTGCTGGGGTCCCTTTTTTCCAGCCAAGGGACAGCCTTTTCGCGAAGCTCAAAACGTCAAGATGGGGCGAAGCCCTGGGAAAATCAGAGCTTCCCCTCCAACAGCCCTGCAAGAGCTTTTGTTGCAGGTGAACCTACAGTGGATGGTTGCGAAATCCATTTCGCACCTAAAAACACCCAGGAATGAGTCGATTCAACGAAAATACCAACCACCGTTATGGTTTTAACCATGGTTTCAAAGTGGTGCGAAATGGATTTCGCCCATCCACAGTAGGTCATCAGCAGACTCGCACGCCCTAGGCTTTGCCTTTGGAACATGCGTGCTGCCTTGCTCATTGAGCGAGGTCGCGGAGAAAGTCACCCATGGCCAAACCATTTTCTGAAGGCGCCCGGCTTGCGAGGTCTCGGTTTGGTTTCGAGGGACCCTCTTCACTGCTCACTTCGCTCTTTGGTTTACACGAACGGTATATGGTCTGCTCGGAAGAGCACAAACTCCGCTCCCCCGAGTCGAGAGCGCGCCTTAAGCGCATGCCATTTCGCAGGCATCATCCTGACCGTCACGATCATGAATATTGTGAAGATTATGACGCAGGCTGGGCCGGTTGTGGGGCGCTGGGTGTGTCTTTTTAGGGAGATTCCCCAAACTAGTGGGTTTCCTGTTTGTTTCCCTTCAAACCCACGAAAACAAATGGGGTACCCTCAAAACCCAGCGTACCCGTTTGTCACTGAGACGTCTAGTGCCCCGGCGACGGTTTATCCTAAACCATCAATCTCTTGGAGTACTGGCGGGTACCACAGATCGGGGGAGATCGAATCAACTCCCCTCGGGAGTTCAAAACAACTCCATGGATATTGTTGTGTTTTGTTTTTGGTTCTGTTCATCTTTAGCAGGGGGCTGCAAGAAACAGTCAGTTTTTTGCTACCATACCAAGGGCGAATAAGGTGAGCTTGTGCTTTCACGAATGAGTTGGAGGTGGCTGAACCATGTTTAAAAAAAAAGAACAAACGAGAAACGCTTCTAAACTCGGACATGTTGTTTTTTGTTGGCCGGAAACGAAGCTTCCTCTGCACAGCTCCTGCTGTGACATTTTGTTCGTCATGCTTGCTATGGCAATTTCAGGCTCTCTCTGAGCAACAGTCAATATGGTCAAAAGCAACGACTAAAAAAAGTTTCGATGACATGTACAATCGCCAAGTTCTCACTAGACCACTTCCAATGCCCTTCACCCGATGGGCTCAAACACATGCGAGCGCCGAAAAACAAAACGCCAAGCCCATGACTGGCGCTTCACCTACCCCATTGCAGGGCCCGGATCCAATATTCAGAGCCACAAGTTGGTGATAAAACGTGGCAATTTGTTCATGTGACCCTTCAGCAAGTGGAAGACCGTGAGTTTTGGCCTTTTCTTGAGGTGCTTGAAGGCACATGTCCCACCTAACCTGCGTTGTTTTGCAGAAACAAAAACAATTTTTGAGTCACTCTGCAAGTTTCTCACTTCTTTTTTTTTGACTTGGCCTCAGTTCCAGGGTGTGAGGTTGTTCGGGGAAATCTGAAAGGCTGGGATGCCATGCCTTCTTTGGGGCATTTTGGTTTGCCATGAAACCACTGAAATATGTTGCTTGGATGTTAGGACTGAAGAACTTTTTGCCAACGACTGGGTTTTCCGTATGAAACCACTAAAAGTTAGTCACTTTTAGCATGGGCAGCAGAAAGCAACCGAGCCTTGGTGAGAAATCTTAGTAAAAATCTTCTCGGGGCGTTAGGGATGGTCAGGAGCCCCCCCCTTCAAAAGGGACATTTCGACGACTCAAATTCTCACTTTGAGTCAGTGTTTGGGTTTAGACCATCAAGTCTTCTCTGCTAGTGGCTTGGATCTTTAGACTTTAATTTTTTGGATTCTCCTCATATTTCCTTTTAACCAGCAAAAAGTGTTTAACTTTTTGCTGGGGGACCTACACCCAAGAAGTTTGGTTACTTGTTTGGCCAACCCACTCGATCGGAAGCGAGCAAGATCAGGTGCTAGCAAGGGATGGTCCCCCCCAAAGACTCCTTACCATCGTTCTTTTCAAAGACCGCATCTGTTTTTAGCTGGGCTTTTGGTTTCCTGAAGAGATTCGGATCTGGATTCAGAATGGGCCAGGTACCCCAAATCCCTTCTGCGACTCTGCCGAAGCACCGCCTGCGTCAGGTGATCAATGCGGCGCAGGTGCACTTCTCGATGAACAAGAACCAGGGCAGCTTCGCGGTGCCCGCGCCAAAAAAAATCCGGAGCCTCTCTTGCTTTGTCTAAGAAACCAGCTGGAGGGTTGGTTGGAAATTCTACTGGACATCAACTTCTTTGGAAAATTGCGTTTGGACAGTTTCTTGAAACTCCCGCTGGTTTCTACGTGTCACGGCCAAGGGAGTCCCGCAGGAAAATGAGACTTATGATTCGCATGTTCTGCTCCGCCTGGATTTAAGACATATACTTTGCTTTGATTGGATTTGATTTGATGTGTTTCTTTGTTTCTTTGTTTGTTTCTTTGGTTCTTTGTTTGTTTGTTTGTTTGTTTGTTTGTTCGTTTGTTTGATTTGATTGTTTTGATTTCGATTTATTTGTTTGTTTGTTTGTTTGTTTGTGTCTGGTTGTGTTGGTGTCTTATGTCTCGTGCCGTGCACTGCATGTTGTCTCGTGCGTCCAGGTCTTCTTTGAGTGGATTGGCGCCAAGGCGCTCGGCCGCGTTGGCTCAAGGATGTTCTTGCAACAGTTGAGCCGCAATCAAAACCTGGGGATTGATGAAGGTTAGTAAGGGACGATCCCATCCCAGCCATAAATAGCTGCGGAATTCCGCCTTCTTAGTTCTTGAAGCATGGTTCTGGGTTCATGATTTTGTACCAGGTTTTGATTATGACTCAGTTTTGGTTTAAAATAATTGATTAAGCAGTGGCCCTTGTCTTGGTCTGCTTGCGGCCTCCGAAAAACAGTAGGGCAATGGCGGATCCGGAGCATGAAGGGTCGGTCAGATCCTCGGCTTCAAGCTGCGAGCTCAAAGAGGCCGAGGCGCAGCTCATGGTCCAGGCGGTCCAGACTGTGGCTGCCTTCATGTCCGCCATGGAGGTTGCGCGGCCCGAAGTCCTGCGGGCCACCTCTGCCTATCATGCCTTCGATTCGTGGGCGGTGGCTCTCCGAGGAAATGGGGAGGGAGACTTCTTTGCCAAGAGCCGAGAGGTGAAGAAAATCCAGGAGTTCTGGAGCCATTCTTGGCACTCGTCTGCCTGGGCGAAATACTTGACTCTCTTGGTGCTGAACAACGGTGTGGCAGCCATTTGTGCGGGCAACGTGTTCGCTTTGCTTGGCATTGTGTTTTTTCATCTTCACGTCCTACCAGGCTTCGACCGGTTTTGGGAAGCCAGTCACGGGAATTGTACCGTGTGGTCGTCAGCGCTAGGTGCCGCTGGAACCATCTTGACCTTGGTGGCCTGGCGTTCTCGAAAAGAAGTCTTCCTGGACAGGATCTGCATCAGTACAACGAGGGAGGATATGAAAACAGAGGCCATTTGCAGCCTTGCCGGGATCCTGGACAAGTCAGAATCCATGTTGGTGCTTTGGGATGCTTCCTTTGCCGAAAGATTGTGGTGCGTGTTCGAGATAGCCGCATTCCTCAAAAGCAAGGAGAAACGAGAAAGGCCTCTTGTCGTTTGCCCAACCCTGGCGGGGCCAGTCTCATTGGCGTTTTTTGCAATGATCACAATGGCTTTCCTTCCCATCCTTGTCCTTCCCATACATATGGAAGGCGTGCTTTTGGGCAACTGGTTTCCATATACGTGGCACATTGCTGGCTTCGCAACCACCGGTGTTGCTGGTGCCTATGCATGCTGCCACGTCTTGCGTGGCTTTTACCGTTCTATAGAAGTCATGCAAACGCAGCTGTTGTCCTTGCAGGTCTCAAAGCTAAAATGCAGCTGCTGCAGCACAGGCCAATGCGTTTCAAGCGGTGGACGGGACATTTGCGACAGACAAGTGATTTCCGAATGCATTGCGACCTGGTTTGGCAGCACAGAGGACTTTGCAGAGTACATCCGGAGTGAAGTTGTGGACGTGATTACGACGCAGCTCGAGCGGAATGCTTTCAGCGATGCTTGGGGTGTTGCTGTCCTATGCCCGGCTCAGTGGGCCATTTTCGATCTTATTCAATACGACGTGCGAAGACCTCGTCCGCACTGGGACATGTTCATGCTGTTTCTTTGTACTGGGCTTACGGTACTTTTGGTTGTGCCTTTATTGACATCATGGTCCAAATTCTTGGCATACCGCCTTCGCCATGAATCTAGCTCTAGATGCGGCGAGGTCCTACTCAACTTGCTCATGATACTTTTGGCGAGCCCAGTGGTTGTCTTTGCCTTGGCTTCCTTTGCGATTGCCGTTTTCATCCCCGTCTGGCCTTTGAAGCCCGTTGCGGTCCTGGCCTTCCTTCTGCCTGGCTGTGCTTTGATGTGTCTCTTGCGCAGGTGTGGGAATGGCTACCTGAGCCAATTCATTAAGCAGAGACGGCTCGTCTCAATCTTAAACAGGCACAGCCTCTGAGCTGGTTTCACGATCTTTTAGCCTTTTGCCTTTTTGGGCATACCATGAAATGGTTTGGCCCTTGGATTATGTGATGCTGTAGTTCGAATTTTCTTCGTAAGCCCCACTCTCGGTTTTTTTTTGCCGGCTGCAAGCTGCTTCTCGCTTTGTCAAGATTGGTGACCCCCTTCTTCCGAAGGGCAAAAAGGTTGCCTTTTTCGAATGCCAGCAGAAAGGTGTTCCATTTTAAGTCAGCCTTTCAACAATCAAAAGGCAGAGCCAACCATCCTTTGCTGGTTTGCTTTGTTTGATTGTTTGTTGTCTAGCTTGTGTTTGTTGCTTTATTCTGTTTTTCCCTTTCGTTTCCGGGGAGGACGGGGGACATATTCTACAATACCAAATTAAATTGGAGCCCCTTTGTATAAAGTGATAGCGATGGACACAAACAATAACTTGCTGGCATCACTGTCGATGTGCTTTTTTGCTGCGTGGGAAAGTAGGTCTGTTGCGTGCCATGATCGAAAAGCCAGCCTTGGCTGGTCGACAAAACGGGGGGTTCGGGGTGTGAGGTCCGACCGCCGATACAGAGGATCTTGCTTTCGCTATTTTTTTGGGCTTGGTTGCTATAAACTTTAATATTCCAAATCCAGTCTGAGAGAATATGTGAAGAATGGCCCAGTGAGTACGTGTGGCTTTTCGGTATTTGGTATGTTTTGTTTCGGCTTCATCTGTTTTCGTTGGTTCTGTTCATGATTGTTGGGACACATTTTACATGTTTGCTGATTGTGGTTTTGTTAATCCCCACTTAACTGCTGAAATTTAAATGTTTGCTCCCCTTCCAACGTCCACCAAGTGATTTGGTTTGGTTTCGACTTTCTTTGGTTTTCGGTCGGCTGGAAAATTGGGAGATTTTTCGATGTCGGGCGCAAAAACACAAATGAGCCACAATCAAAACCCGGGTAGATGAAGGTTAGTAAGAGGCAGTCCTAGCCAGAGTTATAGTTGCGGCCGCCTTCTTACCTTTTGAAGCATGGTTCTGGGTAGACCATTTTAATACCGGATTTTGAGTATGACTCAAATGAGGCGATGCTGCTGCTGGAGAGCGTCCTGGAGCACGGGCAGGCAGGTTTCCTCAGCGCCATGGCCCTTTTGAGCCGCAGGTGGCGTTTCTCGTCGTTTCAACAGGGCTCCTTAAAAGATACATTTTGCCCATTTGAAACATGGCTTTTTCCACCAAAATAAAGGGACACCACCATTTACAAGGCAACGTTCAAGTGTATAGTGTAAGGACCCTTGTTCAATTTGGAGTTCTGGTTACTTCCCTTTGGTTAAGAATATGTTTTATTTTCCCCTGTTGGTTTTACAGGACATCGATTTCACTACTGGACATTTTTTTTTTAAAGAGTTTTTTTCAGGGGATGAAAACGCAAATGGAGGCGTCGTTTCAAGCAGTAAAGCACCAGTAGAGTGAGTTTTTCTTTTGAGTTGGCTGGAAATCCAATTCGGCTAGCCCTCAGGCAAAATAGGAGATTGATTTTTTTCAATAGAGCCACGTCCTCAGAACCCGGGGATTGATGAAGGTTAGTAAGGGACAATCCCAACCAGAAATAGCTGCGGAATTCCGCCTTCTTATTCCTGTACATGGTTCTGGGGATTCCATTTTAGTACCAGGTTTGGATTGCGACTCAATGGGTGTCCGTCTTTCCCTTGAACCTCACTCCCTGTGCTCATTGAATTTAAACTGTTTGGGTCTGGACCACTTTCATGGTAGACAAATGGTTTTGTTACTCTTTTTGGCCGACCCACTCCTTCGGAAGTGAGTAGCCCCAAAAACAGTGGCCTCAAAACAACACATGGGTACGGGTCAAAATTCAACCACCACAAAAAACCGCAGGTTTTTGTCCATGTTTCCATTTACCAGGGTAACCCATTTTGGGGTTACCCTATTTTTGACCCACAGCCACATAGAACCATGGGGGTGGGGTTTTCCGGTTTTGTCCCTTTAACGCAAGGGGTAGCCCAAAACAGCACACACAGACACACACACACACACACATCTGGCAGGGCATGGTCTTGGCAGCGGCCCTCTTCTTCGATTCCAACTTCACCTCGCTGCTCTTGAGGCCCGGAGCCCGGCCCGGCTCTTTTTTTTATCAATATTATTATCGTTTTTTTCTTTTTTATTCGTTCCTCGTTCAAAGACCTGGGAAACTTCCCCCCCGGGTCTTTTTGTTATCCTCGGCTCGGAAAAAGAAGAGAACACACGTGCGCCGGTTATTGGCACCTTCTTTTTTTGGGTTTGCGAAGCGAAGACTTCGAAGGGAAAACATGGAAACCGTTTTCGCCCGGGTTTCCTCCAAAAAAGCAAGGTCCCCCAGCTAGGTGCCCTTTCTCACTTGTTTTTGGGAGGGTTCCTCTGCTAAGATAGACTGCAGGCAAAAGTTGGTACCCATTTAACCTCTCCACTGGAGGACCTAGAAATCAGATCTTATTGAGGTCTTATTAAGGTCTTTTGGGGTGGAAAGCTGTGCAAGGCAAAGGGTTGGGGTTGGTGGGAGTGCAATTTGGAACCTATGAACCCCCCGCGTATTTTGTGGTTTTCCTCGGCTCGGAAAAAGAAACAACAAGCACTTGGGGAGCTGATTTTGAGTGTCGGACTCTGTGACAAGGTGGTTTGCTAGGGTACCTTCCCCATTCTTTCCAGGCATCTTTCTTTCTACAAAACCACCCAAAACCCTGGAGAAACGGATCCAAGAACGATGGCTGAAAAGAATGGAATCGGAAGCAACCCCTAGAGGTTTTGGAATCCTGTCAGGGAACATCATCGGGATCCGGCCCGATGAATCATTCCTTCTTTCTTTTTCTTTCTCTCTCTCTCTCTCTATCTATTTGAATATTATATGCTATCTCCCCCAAGGAAACAACAAAAACTAAGTAGGTGCTTCTGAGTTTCCATGTAGATTGCGGCATTTGCATGCTATTCCAGACATCTACATAATGCCCACCTACGCACATACATGCACACACATACACGCAGACACACAGACACACATATACAGATATACACAACCATACATATATGTATATATAGAGATATATACACGTACATGCAGCATACGTTTGAATGTGGAGAACCATTGTATAAATGCATGTACAATTTTGGGGATGCCGGGCTGAATCGATGAACTTCGGCGCTCTCTACCTTGGCCAGCCTTCCCTTTGGGTATGTCCTTTGGGTAGCCCTCAGACAAGCAAACAAGTAGGGATGTGGGGGAATCAGATCTTGCGGGCATAGTTTCCGTGTAAAAAACAGCGACATGGTTTTTCCTTAGTGGGGAATCCTCGCACATCCCCGCTTCCCACGTATCCCCGCTTCCCTCGTATCCCCGCCAGTTTGCTCTCCCAAACCCCTTCAAGTTGGTTTGAAAGGACACCACAATGAAGGACCTCCCTGGGTTCCAAGCCTCTATGTTGGCACAACGCCATCACCCAGTACTGATTTCAGAGCCATGGCGGTTCTCTTGCACTATCTCTACCCCTCGGAAAGGTTTGATCAGACACCGTTCGATCAGAATGATCTAAGAATCTGTGGGAGTCGCGAGGAATTGGGGACATGGCCTGGCACGGCTCTAAACTTTCCTTTTTGTTCAAGTCGCCTGCTGGAGTCACTGGGCAAATGGTGGTGGTACAAAACCCCAGTGCTCATGTCTCCTTTATGATGTATGGAAAACCCGGATTGTTCAATTGAAGAGGTAGGTGTGTCCCTTTTTTGGTGGGACCCTGCCTTTGTTGGTTTTACAGGCACACCACAACTACCCTCTTCGGGGGTCCGCAAAAAAGAGACACACCCAAGAGGGTCTTGTGAGTGCCCTTCTTCATGCCTGTTAGTTTTCTGAACAGCGTTTTCCTGTGTACAGCCATAGAAAGAAGCCGGTGCGGCAACCGAATTGAGTGACACACACACACACACACATGGGCTGAATTTGGTACACCTGCTTTTTGTCTTTTCGATTTTAGAGGCAAACCCAAAAGGATGACAGGTTGAATCAGGTTGATCTCCCGTGTTTCCTCTAGGTGTTTGAGTTGTCCCGACAGAAGAATCTCTGGAAACAAATGAAAAACATGAGGTTGGGGGGGGGAGCTGGAATTTTTGTCGCCTGAAATTTGAGGCAAACCTAGATGGCTGTGCCTGGCCCCAAAAAAGGGCAGTGTGTCTTTCGGTTTTCTTTAAAACCCATCCAAAGGGGTACCCTCAAGAAATGACACACCCAGAGCCACGATCAAACCCGGGGATTGATGAAGGTGAGGGATAGTCCCAACCATGGGTGCCTTCGCCGCCTTTTTCCAAGCCTTCACGTGGGTACCCTTTCCAACATAGCGGCTGTGGGAGGTTGCCTCGTAGACCATCTTTCTCTTGCAGAACCATTTCCAACCCCCCGTCAGGTGCCATGGCGACGTGGGAGTGATCAGTTTCGATTGTAGCGATCAGTTTCGTAGCGATCAATTTCGATTGTGCAGCGTCCCAAACATGATTCCTATTCACAATTTTGCAAGGTCCTTAGGTGGTTCTGTTCCTACCTGATTGAATACCAACTGAGCCTCGATCAAAACGCGGGTAGATGAAGGTTAGTAAGGGACAATCCCAGCCATGAATAGGTGCGGCCGCCTTTTCAATTCCTTACATGGTTCCGGGTTCACCATGTTAGTACCGGGTTTTGATTATGACTCAACTGTTGATTCTGCCTCGGTTTTCATTGTGAAACAGACTGACATGTTGACGTCAGGATCGTGCCGCGGCTGTGCCCGTTCTGCACCCCGAGGCGGGTGGATCGATCCGAAGACGGGAGGATTTTGGTGTCGCTTGGTGACAGATTCCAACTTTACAAAGGGGAACTAATATAGAGGACCGGCTTCAGGTTCATGTTAGCCTCATCTCACCGAAGAGAAACCATGGTTAAAACCATACCTGTTTGTTGGCAGTTTGTTGGAAAATCGAATCATTCCAGTGTTTCTGAACTGTGGTGTGAAATGGACTTCGCTTGAGCAAACCTTGTTGCCCTGTTTTGTGACCCCTTTTTAGGTTTTCTTGAATGTTTCGTTTTGACAAACAACAGCAAAAAAGAAAAAAAGAAAAAGAAAACAGATGCGTTTGGCCAAGAACCTTTGGCTGCTTCAGCTGCCACAGACGCCAACATCGATCCGGGCTGTTCTGTTGGTGAGGTACATTTGCAGACCCTAGGCGCTGTCTTTCTTCGGGGTTTACTCACTTGCCCAAAGCCAATTGGATGTGGCTCCTTTTTTTGAGTGGGTATTCCCTTTGTGGTGGCTTATTCAGGCAACCAAAAGAAAGCCATCATTCTTCAGGATCCAGCAAAATTGGGGACGCGGCGCATTTTAGTGGCCCCAAAACGGTAATTCTGGGTAACCGGGCTGAGTTTTAGCTGCATAGACCCTGGCACTCGGTAAGGCATCATCAAACAGGGACCTCCCTTACTTTGGGGTGGGTGGGTGGTATGGATACATCTCATTCACCTGCCTATTTCATAGCGAGCTCAGTGATTCGGGGGAATAACGAGCTCGCCATGATACGTGTCGTCCTTTGCTTGGGGATCATAGCACGGGGCTGAGGAGCATCTCATGACTCGTTTTGGTTTTGCTCAGAAAAGCGATTTGCAACACGGGCAAGTGCAATGCTGAAATATTGCTTCTGGGTTGTTCCCTCAGTTTATGGGAAGCCATACGAACTATACGGGTGCGAGTGCTTTTGGGGGAAGTTGACCAAACCCACTCACCCTAAACCAGCCCGAACCCACCTCTCAAACCAGTGCTGAACCCACGCTAAACCCACCTAAACCCACACTTCCTTTGTTGGTATGTTGTTTAGTGTTTTGGCATATGTTGTTAGCTTGTGGAAACCACGTCTTGGTATGCGTTGTTCTATTCTTGTTTTATTTTGGTTCTGTTCATTTCAGTGGCGCGAGGCTCCAAGAACAGTCCTCACCTCGCAGTCAGGTATCCGGCAGTTGGTGGTTTGGATTGGTGGTTTGGGATTTGTTTCCCTGGTTCTTGCAAAGAGTCAATGGGACACCACTCGACTTGCTGGTTCTCAGCAGGTGACGAGAAATGGCACCCCGAAAAAGACCATCCCCTATGGTATCCCCTATGGTTTCCTTGAAGGGAATCCCCATTTCATTCCCAAACGGTTCACTCGGGTCATTCCCTAGCAATCGCACCAAGCCGAACCCCCAGCCCAAACCAATCCCAGAGGGAAGGTTCGAAGATTTGGATGTGAAGCCCTGGCTCCTGTAGAGGTATGGGAAACTGTCCTTAGCTACGTCCCCCAGTAGTGCCCTTCTCTCCCCTTTTTTGGTTGGGAGGGTTTCCCTACTAAAATAGACCACAGAAAAACGGGTACCCTTATTCTAACCTCTCTACTGAGGACCTAGAAACAAAACCCCTAGCAAAAATCCCGGATGAATAAACCCCTCGTTGATTCAGAGGGGTCCCTTGTGGCAGGTTCACCACTTTTGGGGAAGGTTGGCTATATCTTTTTGGGGGAAGCTGGCGCAGGAGGCCCGGTTTTTGTTTGTTTATTTTTTCCCTTGGCTGGTTTTTTACTAGGGCTGGTCCCAGGTTGGTTGGTTGGTTGGTTGGTTGGTTGGTTGGTTGGTTGGTTGGTTGGTTGGTTGGTTGGTTGTTTGGTTGGTGGGTTGGGTTGGGTTGGGTTGGGTTGGGTTGGGTTGGGTTGGGTTGGGTTGGGTTGGGTTGGGTTGGGTTGGGTTGGGTTGGTTGGTTGGTTGGTTGGTTGGTTGTTTGGTTGGTGGGTTGGGTTGGGTTGGGTTGGGTTGGGTTGGGTTGGGTTGGGTTGGGTTGGGTTGGGTTGGGTTGGGTTGGGTTGGGTTGGGTTGGTTGGTTGGTTGGTTGTTACCCTTGGTTGGTTGGTTGGTTGTTTGGTTGGTGGGTTGGGTTGGGTTGGGTTGGGTTGGGTTGGGTTGGGTTGGGTTGGGTTGGGTTGGGTTGGGTTGGGTTGGGTTGGGTTGGGTTGGGTTGGGTTGGGTTGGGTTGGGTTGGTTGGTTGGTTGGTTGGTTGGTTGGTTGTTACCCTGACGCAGGAGGCCGAAGGCCAAGGGCGAGTCCTGGTACCGGGGCTGGGCGCCGGTCTGCACGCCCGACGTGGAGTGAGGAGTCGAAAGCCGCCGGGTGGATCTGCTGGGAATGCCGCCCCCCCCCCCCACCCCACCGCGTGTTGTTTTTTCTGTTTGGGATCACCAGCAATGCGGGGAGAAAAAGACACACAGTTTTTTTTTGGGTAGAAATGTAACCCGGGGTGCAACAAAAACAGACACGCGGACACAAACGCGGATGGCAAGAGCTGCGTGCGACTGCACTCAGATTGAGCCAAAGCGCTCCAACTTTCAATTTCAAACCTCGGGCTTGAACCCTCGGCATCTGTAAAGAGCAGTGACCCTGGGGTTGCTCCTTCGCATCATGTTTTGCTCTAAGCCTCCAGGGCGGTCAAGTTGTTTGCGTCTTTGTTCGGGCTGGGTTTTCTTCACTTCCATTTGCTTAAGACGATTTATTATTATCCCTTGTTGGTTTTACAGGAATTTATCACTACAGGAAATACTCTATATTTTCCCACGTGGCTTAAGCAAATGGAAGTTCAAAGTCGACCGGCCGACAAAGGCATGCCTTTTTGTACCCTCACTGGAGGTGTGGGTAGCGATGCCGCTTGCGCATAACAGAACTTGGCGCATGCATGGGCGTGAGACGCCAATTGGCAAGTAAAGATGCCGCTCGACAGAAAAGAGAAAGCCACGAGACGCCAGGGTCTCCAACTGCCTGGACCTTCAAGTGGCCCTTGTTTTTTGTTGCCTTTGTACCCCTTTTTTAATGGGTCAAAGGCAGCACAAAATGGCTTTTGGGGGGTCCAACGGATTTTGAATGCGTCGGATCTTTGATTTGGGACCTACCAACTCAGAATCTTGAGCTCCGTGGGCAGGGGGCAATAGCTAAGTGTTATCTTTCGAAGAGCAGATGAATCAACCCTGGAAATTTGGATCTGTCCCGTTTCGAGACGCGGATTTCTCACCTAGGGATTGAAGACTTTCCTTTTGCGTCTTCTAGGGCCGCTAGATGTGACTATCGGTTCCTTTCAAGATCCCACAGAACTTCGATCAAACACTTGGGTCGACCTGCTCAGCCCAAATAGTTGAGGCTGGAGGACAGCAAGCAGGAGGGTTTAAGCGTTCTTTTCCCATTCTTTCCAGGCATTCGGATCTTTCCAGAAAACCACCCAAAACCCTGGGGAAACAGCTCCGGTTTTTGAAAAGAACGATGGTTGAACAGAATGGACGAGGAATCAACCCCTAGAAGTCTACAAGGTTCTAAGTGAATCCGGGGCGAACATGAAGTCTGTTCAGGCATGGGCCATGGACGTGGATTTCCGGGGTTCCAACCGGACCAACACGGGGTTGGTGCGGGTGCCGAAATGCCCTGGCGCCCTTTCTGCAAGCTTCACGGCTTCAGTTCCTCCTTTTCATGTTTGGAAGGCGGGGTTGAACTTTCCAAGGTCCCAACTATGTACTTTTGGGTAGGTGCCTCTGCAAAATACCACAAAAGCTTAGATACACTATGGGTACATACATAATATATAGCCATCTTTTCCAGTGGGATGCCAGGGGTACCTGCCCAGGGGCACGTGGTTTGGCCCTTAGAGGTTGGTTCCCACTGCCTGTGGTACTGAGCCCTCAGCCTTCCCTTTGGAGAATTCGTGACGGCCTTCCAGTATCACACTTTCAAGCCCTCCTAAACCGCAGCTGACTTTGGGTTTCGTGAACACCAAAAGGCTGTGTGTGTGTTTCTTGAGAAAGACCACCGGTCCCCCTTTCAGACCCCACCGCAAACAGGTGCCGACTCAAAAAAAAATCCTCTTCCAAGGCCCGATGATTCCATTTACAGCAACCAAGGAAACCCGCCCTTAAAAGCCAAATTCAAATCAAAGACATGGGGGTGGTTTCCTACTGTAGCGGCTTGCAACTGGGATCCACAGAAAAATAAAGCAAAACCACAAAAAAACAACATAAAACTAAACCATGTTCCGTTCCCCACGAAAAGCCGCGAGAGAAAAACCGCGAAAACATGGTTGTTGTTGGGAAACATTTTACATCTTTGCTTACACTGAACTGCTAAAGCAATATATCATGTTTGCTCCCGGGAAACATCAAAGGGGACCAAGCAAAGATGGTTGATATTCACAACTACCGACCTTCCATTTTTACTCCATACACACATTTGACATCTTTGCCTACTCCGAACTGCCAACATGTTTTTTTTTTTTGATATTTTTGCTTGCCCCTTCCAACCAGCTTGCGTCCCCCCCTTTGGACCTGGAGGCGGGCTTGGTGATGTCTCCGGGCCACGACTTCCTGGACGAGAGCTGGCAGTTTCAGAGGCCCGAAGCCCCGGAAGCCTCACACGAGGGAGAAGCCTCCGGGCGGAATGAGTCCTCAAGACCCGGGTAAAACGCCCTGTGAGTCATGGGTTTGTCTCAAAATTGGATTTGACCCCCCAAATTTTGGTGGCTTGAGGGTAGACTTGATATGGCCATGGGTCAAAAGCTCGTGGATTTCAGTGACCATCCCAATCCCACTATAGACAAAAATGGGGGGCACCTACCCCAACCTGGGGTCTTATTGGTTTTGACCCACAGCCATATTGGTTTCCTTTATAACCAGGCTATTGGGCTATCCCTGGACAAGCCTAGGACAAGACAAGGTATGCCCTTAACAAGGCCTTATGAACCCCTCCCCTCCCCAGTTCGCCCTGCAGAGTCCACTGAAAAAGTGGATCTTTAGACGAGCTTTTTGGTTGAAATCAAGTTGGGTTTTCCACTGAACCCCCAAAAGTTAACTTTTTGCAGGGGGGTCAACAGCAACCAAGTAGATGAAGCTTAGTAAGGGGCGGTCCTAGCCAGAAATAGTTGCGGCCGCCTTCTTTATTCTTGAAGCTTGGCTCTGGGTAGACCATCTTAATACCGTGTTTTGATTGTGACTCAGGTGCCTTTTTTTGGGGATGGCTACCACTCCACTGTTGTCTTTTTTGAAGGCTTTCTGGGTGTTCACCGGAATACCGGGGTCTTGACCCATAGCTAAAGAAACACGGAACCCAAAAAACGGGGTCCCAGAATAAGTGGATTCCCTTCCAAAAAATGGACGTTTGGGTTGGGTTTCATGTTGATCTGTGGGGTAGGGGAATGTGGGGCCGGAATGAATCACTGCTTCGGATCGACGCGGTCAGGAAGCTCCTTTGGTGGGAGCCCCCAAAATGCGGTTCCATGTCAACCTCGCAAAGAGTCTCAGAGGTGTTCACCTCAAGAGTGACGAAATTTTCCTTTAGCATTGACAAACTCAACCAGTGCTTTTTCCCGGGTTCAATTTCTAGCCCCATAGGTTGGTATCCCGGGTGGGAAGGAACGCTCCAAGGGCGGGCCTGCCGCTTTGGAGCAATGCGGCGGCCAAGTTGGGAGGCCCTTGTTTGCTGACAACGCGCTTTTCTGGTAGGTGACTGGTTCTGATTCGAGAGTGTGCATAATGTGAGAGGCTGAAGAATTGCGGGCATGCCTTAATTTGGTTTTGAAGTACCTGCAACCCCATTCAGAGTATTCAGAAGCTCGCAGTACCAGTTTTGGTACCTTATAGCAGTTGAATGGATGTTGGACCCCAGATTCCTCCTTGACACGTCACGGACCCGGGCTAATCCTAGAACAAGTTTGCCTTGGGAAGTCCTGGCTTACATTCATAGGGACCAGCTACGCTAACTGGCTACCACATACCAGGGTTTTGCTTGTAGAATTCCTTAGATATACAGGTCGGTCCTTCCTACTCTTGAGGGGCTGTTCAAGTTTGACCCTCAGGAAGTCTTAGCTAAGATGTGGAGAAACACACGCTTCTTAAATTCTGCCCTCGAGGGACTCTCCAAACATGTGGACTGCCTTTGGGTTGGAAGCAGATGAAACCAAAGGGACAGAAAAAAAAACAAGATAATCCAAACTGTTACCAGGACAAATTAGGATAACCATCCTTCATACATAGTGGCTACATGGTTTGGGGTGCCGAAACCATCGTAAACTCGCTTGTTTGTCACTTTCGGCAGGATGAACATCGCTCTCAGCAGGCGGGGCAAGATGGCAAAATTGGAGGAGCAAGCAGACAGCCACCTCAAAGGGAAACCAGGGAGGTGGTTCAAACATTGGATTAAGCATGTTAATTCTGTGCGACATTGGGATGTGGCTCAAACCTTGGTTTCAACATGTTTAACCAAGCTGGCCCCAGCCTCGATTCCATAGCGCTGCAGCGCTTTTCCCCAGCCCCCCCTCCCGCTCAACGGTTCTTCCACCCGAAAGCGAAGCGAAGGCGCGGGAGAAAGCTGTTAATCCACAAGGCCCAAAGGTTCGCATTTTCCGGGTCGCTGGACATCTCCCCAAATTCAAAGGTCGATCCATTTCAGCGTCGGTTTTTCCATTACGACCGCGCTCGCCACGTGTGGAGGTCCCAAAACGCTCGGCCCGACAGGTGTCAGGCCTCCCGAAATGGGAACCAAAGACCTGCGCGCTGGCGCGACCTGAGCCCAAAAAAACGTGGCAAGAGAGCTTTGCTTCGTGTATGTGTCCCAGGTATAAGAGTGGGGGTCTCCTTTTTTGTGGCTTCCTTTCGAAGCAACCAAACGGGGGTATACGCAGAACGACAGACCCGTTTTGTGTCTTCGTGCGTTTCTGTGACTTGGAGCAGCTCTGTTTCCCCCTACTGTGGCTTTTTTTCTCAGATAGGCTCCGGGGTGCAGAAGCGGGAGGCTTGAAGCTTCCTTGCTTCCACGTTTCTGGGCTTCTATCTAGAGGGAGCTAAAGAGCTACTTGAGTTCTGTGTAGTGTGGAATTAGTTTACACAGCGCCTGTAGTATTTCCAAGGGAATTGGTTATTTGCAGTTGTTCCCTTGGGGCATTGTTTGGTGCATTGTTGCAACATACTACAAGTGCACCCGAGTGCGAGCGCGCGTTTGTAGTATTGCTGTAAAGTTGTTTTCGCTGAGGCGACCTTTTGCCCAATAGAGTCTGCAAAAATTCGCAAACACACGCACACGCGCGCACGCACACACACAAACGCGGAGCTTACAACCACGGCTTT